CCACCCAGAACCACGAGTACCCGCCGCCCCCGCCGCCCGGCCCGCTCCCTGGCTCCATCGCCCCGGTGGCCACCGTCATCTCGCACACGCACCACAACCCCAACGTGGGCTTTGCGGGCAACTCGAACGAACGCCCATACCAGGGCAACAACTACAACACTGGTGACGGATACCCGACCAACGGCCAACAGAACTACAACACCGGCAATAACGGAGACCGCTACCCTTCGACTGGTCAACAGAACTACAATACCGGCACCAACGACCGCTATCCGACCAACACCCAACAGAACTTCAACACCGGGGACGGAGACCGCTACCCTTCGACCGGTCAACAGAACTACAATAGCGGTGGTACCGTAGACCGTTATCCGACGACTGGTCAACAGAACTACAACACTGGTACCGGTGACCGCTATCCAACCAACACTCAACAGAACTTCAACACCGGAAACGGAGACCGCTACCCTACATCCGGTCAACAGAACTACAATAACGGAAACCGTTACCCCACTGACAATCAGCAAAACTACAACTCTGGGGACCGCTACCCAACGAACGGTCAACAGATTCAGGGTTCCTCCACGTACCCCAGTGGACAAACGGGGACATCCGGGAGCAACCCTTACAACCCCAATCCCTCAGTGGACCGACCTTCTACGACGCAGACTGTGGACGTCGACTACAACCCGACGCTATCTGGCGCCGTCCCCTCCATCTCCCCCGTCGCCGTGGTCCCGGGGTCGGGCTCGGTGGGACTTCCCCTGACGGGCGACCTCTTTACAGTCACGCCGCCACCTCCCCCGACCCAGGCCCCTGCGTGTGACCTGTCGCCCACCGAGGTCAACGGCAGGCCCGTCTGCAAGGGCCAGGTCGTGTTCGAGGACAACTTCGACAGCGTGGACCTGACCCGTTGGTCTCACGAGGTCAAGATATCGGGCGCTCCCGTAAGTGAACGGCAGTTTGAACTAACACTACCAGACTGCCGCGTTGACTCACAAACGCTCTCCTGTTGTATTCTTTTCTCTCCAGGACTACGAGTTCTGCATCTACACCCAGAACCCCGAAAACACCTTCACGCAGAAGGGACTCCTCCATCTCAGTCCCACTCTGACCAACGACAAGTACGGCGCGGACTTCATCCGCACTGGCAAGCTGCAGCTGGAGGGGTAATTCGCCGTGGCATTGTAGCAGTACTGTACCCCCCCCCCCCCCCCCAAACACCACAACTGCAGATGGTTTGACCCGGGCCTTGTCTTTGTAGGTGCACGGCGGGTGCGCCCAACTCGGACAGCTGCTACCGCGAGGCCATGTTCTCGTACATACTGCCGCCCATCGTCGCGTCGCGCATCAACACCAAGAACAGCTTCAGCTTCAAGTACGGCACCATCGAGATGCGGGCGAGGCTGCCGCGCGGCGACTGGATCTACCCGGGTGAGTAGGCAACCCGTCGCACTCCGGTGTGGGATGGGCCACCTTACCCACCGCTCGCCTTTGGGCAGCTCTGAACCCTAAACCCCTGCTGATCCCGACCCCGCAGAGCTGTGGCTGTCGTCCTCCCGCGAGGAGTACGGCCCCGGGCTGGCGTCGGGTCGCGTCATCCTGGCCATGGCGAGGGGCAACCGCCGGCTGACGGGCCCCGCGCCCGACCACTCCGACCTCAGCGGGCGCGTGATGGTGGCGGGCGCGCTGGCGGGCAACATCAATGAGGGCTCCGCCACGGCCAAGAGGAAGATCTTTGCGAAGAAGAGCGACCTCGGCCTGTGGACGGAGCAGTTCCACAACTACACCCTGCTGTGGACTCCCGGTGAGTACTACTCCTCGGTGCCGTGTCTTCCTTGGAAAGAAAAGTATAGTCGCGCTTGACGCAGTTGATGGTTTTCCCGGCAGATACGTTGGCGTTTTCTGTGGATGGCGTTGAGATCGGAGTGGCTCGCCCTGAGGACGTCGGCGGTCTGTTACATGGCGATGGCGACGCCTGGGCTCGAGGATCCAGGATTGCTCCCTTTGATAAGGAGGTAAAACATTTCGCTTCCTTGTAATTCGATACCTCAGAGCGAGAACCGCTCAGTATAATAGGCTTTCCTGCAGAGACTGAGCGGTTCTCGCTCTGAGGTATCGAATTTCGCCCAAAACATTTTTATTTCAGAGTTTTCAATGTTTTTTCTTTTCTTTTTTCCCAGTTTTATCTTAGTCTTGGACTTGCTGTCGGGGGTATACACGCGTTCCCGGATGGATGCAAAAGTGGGAATCATGAAAAACCGTGGAAAAACAGCGGAGCAAAGGTAAAGAGCAAGATTTTGCCC